TTTGCCGATGACTCTGAAGCAATGGAAAAATTGAGGAACAAAGCTCGCGGCAAAGACTGTCTTCTATAATTCCACAAGTTGGTAGATAATACTTAGCTAGCGGACCATATGGGCCGGACAATCTGTCGTTGCGACGACCTCCAAGCGACGACATCAATGTGAAAGCTGTCAGACCAGGTTGGTTTTGTGGTTCATTTATATTTTGGCTATGGAGATATCATTTAGTCCACTGCGTTGTACGTCGGAATGACACTGAAATTACTCCGCTTTACTACAAGTTAACTATCATAAAAAACGCTCTGTCTGAATGGCGACGAAGAATTTACTTTACGTCGCCGGCATCCTCAGCAGCTGCCACTTTTCGCTATTTCTATTTAACTGTGATAGATTGAGCTAGTCAATAAGCGCTGGCAGACCGCAATGGTGATAAATTAGGTCGTGAACTATGCATTAAATAAAGATTCTGAGTACGCTTATGGTGCCGTAGTATTAACATGCTTGGGCAAAGTACGTGGTGCGCTGTGGACGGATGCTAAACAACGGAAATTAACTTTTAACGTAAACCAGGAATGATCGTCTCGAGTTTGGCATTCAGAAATATCTGGCACGCAAGGTGAAACTTTTGTCGCATTGCATTTTTGTTATTTTTTTTAAAGTTCCTGGTAAACCGACAAGGTAAAGATGAAAGTGATCACATGACCAAGTATTCGCTCCTTCAACTGGCGCGAGACTGGTCTGAAGAACAAGGTAGAAGAATATGAGGTTCCACTCGCGAAAATACTATATAGATGTGACGCTGTTTATGTTTCCACATTTATATAACCTAGCAACATTCGGTCATTTGCGCTTGCGTACCATTTTGAATTTTGTCTGTGATCGCGGCTCTTATTAACGACTGTATATTCGGTCATAGACAAACGCAGTCAAGAACGTCTTACTCGGCCGCCGAAAGATATGTTCTGACCACGCTCAACGCTAATTCTCGTGCAAAGGTGTCCAGAATTTATGTTCCCCAAACACAACCCTAGCTGACATTAGCGTTCAGATACACAGCAGAAGACGAGGATGAGCGTGATGACAACTGACAACAATTGGCATACAACAAGGAATTTGTCCAATTAGCTAAGATCACCGCCATTTTAATCGAGTAATAAGCACTAGAATGTTCCACAGAATAATAAAAATCTGCCAGACTAAGACTACGAACAGGTAAAAATGTCTAGTTATATATATGTACATTTTTTTTAAATATGTTCCTCAGTTACATGCACTCTGTACGTAGTTGCCTTGAAATCGAATCCTCTTCTTTTACTTCGATTGCATAAAAACGACGTAAACTCGCCTACTTGTGCTAACGAGCAGGAGCCAATGCAACTGATAATGAAACCTAGTTCACAAAAGTATGCACTAAAATTATCAACGCACACGGAGTCCAAGAAGCAAGTTAATTCGGCTACACTTCGTGTCACTGAGGACCAAGAGGACAAGTGAAAGCAGTAAATTGGTGGTATTCTGAGTTCAGATAAGTAACGAATTTAATAAACGAGCCATGGCTTACTTGTTTCGGGTTTGTCTTCAACGAGGCCTTTACCTGAAGATGAAGAGAGACTAACAGCAGTTTGAACATGTTCCGCAGTGGCCTGCATGTCACGATGACATTTCGAACAAAATCCGTCGAAATTTGGGCTCCCATAAAAGCCACAACCCTTGCGGCAGAGACGTGGGACTGCCTGTGCTTGATCGTTTTCCTCCATTTTTGACTGAAAAAAGTAAATACAAGGCTTTATACACTATTAGCTGTGACATTACCCAAGTTGCGAAACAATAATGGACTTAATGCAGAATGTCAAGGCCGGTGTCACAGGAACAGTCGCCGGTGACAGTCCATGAGGACTGTATTTGGCTTAATTGCAACGCACTAGCCAGGGAACTAGTAAGCCAGCATAACCTTAAAAACGGTAGAAGGGCTGCTTAGGCAGACAAAGAAACAACCGAAAACTTTCATGTGAAGACACTTCACTAGCGACAAACACACGATGATTTGAAGTACATCCAACTACTTGTATACTGATGAATAAAGTTCGTGAAAGGCCCAAATTGCGACTGAATTAAGC